AGTTATGCCTAATTTTGCCTAAAAATATACTTAATTTTCTTGAATTTATAATTTGATTTTGCCCAGAGTTATGCCCGGAATTATATTTAATTTTGCTTGAAATTATATTTTAATTTTGCCTAGAATTATGAACAAAAATTTACTTAAAATTATAATAAATTTACCTGGAATTAATTGTAATTCTGACATTAACGATGAATCTAATATATCTGAAAGTGAAAGTGCTGAAAAAGGTAATATATTTCAGTTGACATTAATACTAATCAAAATAAGAAAGATTCAGAAAAATTTAAGTGGTTGGTAATTTACAAGTAGATTCTATTATTATAATTAGACAACCCTTACATACAGATTAATGGTCGATTCTTGGTCGATTTTTGATATTTGAAAATAACACAGAGTGTTAAAAGATGGCAACATGAAAAAAAATCAGCTAGTTCAAAATTGTGGAATAATTAAAACGAATGTAAAGAAATGGACATTCAAGTTAAATATAATGATAATTGGGAACAATATGTGGAACGTGTTGTATACATATTAAAAGATTGTAAATTTGAAAAATTGGTTATTGTTTTGAAGTGGTACATTCTTTATAATATATTTGTTTATTTCTATTTTTAAGTTATTTTTTAAATGTATTATTCATTCTTTTAGGATTAATGGACAAAAAACGGTCTATTGGGCAGATGACGCTTACAGTCGATATCCTCAAAAGGTTATCGAATATTATGAATCAAATATAATTTTTATGAATGATTGAATATACTAGGATAACATTCGTTCATATCAAATGTATTATGTTTCTATAATACAGTAATAAATATATAAAAATTTTTTAAATGCCACGTGTAGAACGAGATTATATTTAAATGCTATCTTTAATTTGGCTTCCATTTTTCTGTAATACTGTATATTTACAAAAAATGAATAAAAATTAATTATTATCTACCAATATAAAAGCATATATCTGTTATTATCATAAATTCAGTGATTGCTTACTTGCTATTTTTATGTTCAGCAATATTTAAAAATCTGCCAATATGGAATCTTTGCTTAGAAAATGACCTTCTGAGGCTATATGGATTTATAATACAATTCAAATTTGCTAGCCATCTAATGATTCAATTTAAATAAACTTTTTTTATTTTATAAAGCTCATTTATCTTTACAAAAAAAAAAAAAAAAAAAGTTATTTAAATTAGATTATGGATGGCTAGCAAATTTGAATTTTATTTATTAAATCCATATAGCCTCAGAAGGTCATTTTCCTAACAAAGATCCTATATATTTAATTAATTTTTTTATTGGCAAGAATTACTCGCCACAAAAGAAAATTTTGATGAAAGAAGATGTTTTGTTTTAAAAATTGATAAAATATTAAAAAAAAAAAAAAAAGCCTAATTATGATGTTATTTATTCGAGCACAAAAATTTTACATGAGTTTATTATTGTTTTTTTCATTAATAGTACCTTATTTTTTTTGCCTGTTGTTTTTATTACTGTCAGAATTATTTTATTATGATATTTATTCGAAAATTGATGTAGATGTTTGTTTAACTTATGTATTAAAGAAAAAAATATGCAGATAATATACAAACAGATTTTCTAGTTCTGCAAGAAACTAATTTAAATGTTTATTTTTAAGTTTTTCATCCTTCTACAGTAGTCTTTATTTATTTTGATTATTTGGCATTCTGTTTTTATTTAAATTAGGAATATTCTCTTTGGACATTAATCTTCTTTTATTTCTTATATTTTTGCTATCAAGATTTCTTACAATTTCTTCTGTTTTCTTTAATTTTAACTATAATTTTAAAGTTTAATATAATTCAAAATTTAAAATTTAGAATGTTTAATAATACATACTTTGAGTTCTTTAAGAATACAGTAAATATCTTCCAATAAATAACTATTATCCTCCTCTGATAGAACCGTGCAAGAGTCAATTCTACCAAAAAAAAATAAATTCCTTTAAACCAAGACATTGTATAAATATTTATTTCAAGTCCTAAAAAATTTACTTTAGTAATAGCTTTTATAAAGTTTGTAAAATTGAATAAGATTGATATACCATCTTGTGTAAATCTATATAGAACTAGAGATTTTCTGTCTTTATCACTAATATGCTTCCATTGCTTTAAAGCTATATTAATTGAATCTCGCATCATTATGGATAATTTGACTTTATCGAGATACTTTTTCTTTCTACTTGCTATCGATAGACCAAAAAAACCTAACCCTCCAGATACTTCACCATATAAGGCCTCTAATTTATATGAAGTATTTATTAATGTTCCTTTCATATCTGCTTTATGGCCAACTTTGGCTTGTTGAAAAGGATTATATGTCTCATTGCGGGCTTCATTAGTTGCTAAAGACTAAACTTCTTCTCTAAAATTAAGCAGATTCTTAGAAACACACCTACTTGTCCTAGATTTTACTTTTAAACAATATTATCTTACCATTTATCATTTATTACATTTAATAAAAATATTCTACAAATTAGTGGAAATATTGTGGTCATTTTCAATTCTTGTTCGCTTATAAAATTTTTTAATCGATCCATATATAATTTACTGTGTAATCACAGTAATTAAATTTTAGTAAAAATTTTAAACCAAATCTCACTTATCTCACTTACATAAACTGAATATTAATATGTAATTTTTCAAATCCATGAACAACAACTTCGCATTTGTTATTAAAGTATTCTTGCAATTTTTTAGGAGCTAGTTTTGGAAGCTATTCAATCTTACTTGTGAATATTTGTGCTACAATATTTAACAATTTATGATCAATTTCTTTCCAATCAAACAAACTTTCTCTGGTAAGGTCTAATATATCCAATATGCTGGTCTGTTGAATATAAGGAAAATATAGATATTTATATGCCAACTATTAAGCATTAGAAAAATATATTATATAGAAATAAAACTATTCTAGACTTACGTTACTATTTTTTTTGAACTAGATATCGAATTTTGATATTTAATAAATGAATTTTTTAAATTTTGATTAAATGAGCTTAACTAAACATTATATTAATATAATAACATTAATACATATTTATTTTACCTTAAATTAGTAAATTAAATATAAATTTTACTGATTCAAGATTAAAAGTTATTTTGTCAGATTCAAAATCTGGGAGGCATATTTTTTCAATTAAACTATCATCATCAATTAAATCACTTCATTGTCATCATTAAAAAGGGAATGATAGTCTTCTTGCAATTGGTAATTTTCATCAATATTTAATATAATAGGTTCTAGGTATATAATTTTAATCATTATTACTATATATTATACTAAATTAGTATATCAAAAAGGATATCTTTTATTTTAGACCACAAGTTATTTATGAATACAT